CCGACACCCTTCCCATCAAGACCGTGTGCCGGGGTACTGGGTGCGAGAGCCAGGCCCGCGGGCCACGTGGGCCTTCAGTGGGAGGAGGCGGTTCTGGGCACACGGTCCCTGGCCACTTGGTGAAGGGCAGCCCAGCTTTGCCCCTGCACACCCACCACCGCCTTCTAGAAAGCAGGCCACGGTCACCAGATCCTCCTTGTAGACAATTTATGTCACGTGAGGAAATGGATTTTTAAAATGTGACATCTCCTGAGTTCAATCATTGGCACCGAGTTCCGGTTAAGAAGCTCCTGTGCGGCCGGCAACACGGACACAGTGCCGACGGCGCTTGCGCTCGCTCGGGGGTTATGGGCCACGTGTACCTGGGCCGCGCTGCCCTTGGGGCGTCCAGTGGGCGTCCTTCACCAGCCCAGGCCACTGAGCATGCTCACAAGGTAAAATGGATCCAGTGGCCAAAACACTGACCTCAGGCCTCTGAGGTCACCACCACGAGGCTCAGGCCAGCGGACTCGTGGTCCCCAAGGTGCCCGGTCCCGATCCTGGGGCCTGTGAACGCACTGCCCTCCGTGGCCCGGGGCCCTGCTGACGTGGGGAGGTCAAGGTCCTGCGGCGGGAGATGACCCTGGGCCACCTGGGTCCTGGTCAGAGGGAGGCAGGGCCGTGAGGGAAGCATGTCCCTCGGGGACAGTGGCCTCCTCGGGGACAGTGACTGGGAGAGGTGGGCAAGGGCCTCCCAGAGCCACTGCAGGAGCAGCCAGCACCCCCCAGGACGGCAGAGCCCCGGGAGGATGCTCCGCTGCTCTCAGCCGCTGGGTCGAGGAGCCTGTCACAGCCGTCCCAGGAAGCCGAGGACGATGGCACCGACGGCCAGAACACGCAGGGCCTGTCTGCCGAGGCCTCGTTCACGGGACTCTCTGTGTCAGGCCGTGAGCCTCCCCGCTCTACAGACGAGGAAGCTGAGGCACAGAGAGGGTGGGACACAGTCCCAGGTCACACAGCGGGGGGCTCAGTGTAGACTGGGACGAGAAGCCACCATTCCCATTGTGTCCTGTGACAGGAAGGCAGAAGGCCGCCGATCCCCGGGGGCTTTGTGGGCCCCTCTCTGCCGGGTCCCTGACCCTCCCTGGAGGCTTTGGAACTTGGGGACCCCTCCTCACTCTCGCGGAGCCAGGGACACTGCCCAGGCCCCTGCAGGCCCCCTCCTCACAGGGCTGACTTCCTGGGGTCTGTGCCTATCCCTTGGCGCAAATGTCACAGTGTGTGCAGACCCGGAGTTGGCAGGCTCTTCCCTGCTGGGGGTACCCTGCCCCTGACTGGGGACGTGGGACATCAGAAGTCCACCTGGTGTCTGCCACCCCTGCCACCCCCTGCCACCGCGCACAGCTTTGTCATTGAGGAGGCAGGACACACAAGGCCCCCGGTGCCCACTGGTCTCCCTCGTTGGCAGACGCTGAGTGACCCGGTCAGCGGCAGGACGGGCCTCTCCAGATCAGCTACCTTCGGCCACTTTTGCAGCATTACCTGCAGATTGTAATTAAGAGATAATGTCACTGGGAGGACGTTGTCACCGGGTAATGGTCTCCCGCGGCTTCCGAAATGTCAAGGCAAAGTCACGGCATTAACCAGGAATGAACATTGGCGGGAGGCGCCTTGGTTCCCGCAGTGGGGAACCTCAGTCCTGCGGCAGCCATGGCGCAGGGTCCTCTAGGGATGACGGAGGCCAGCTGACGAGGTGGCCCGAAGACGAGGGCTCTTGCCGGTGTGGGAGCCCGGCTGCCCGCGGGTGGCGGTGCCTGATGGGCTCCAGGAGGGTCCGGCTGCCCTCCCTGCCCAGGACCACAGCCCTGCTCTGTGTGGCCAAGGTGCAGGTGGCCCGGGTCCCAGGTCCCGATCGGGCAGGGCCTTCTCTGCAGCTGGCCGCCGTGGCCTGCTGATGGGCGTGGAGAGGGCTGTTCTCTGACAGGTCCTCCTCCTGCCCCCGTGGGCTCCCGGGGACCGGCTGGTGATGCAGCGGCCACCCCTGGACAACCTCAGTTTCCGCATCGCCACCCAAGAAGCAGGCAGCGGGGAGGCCGGCGGGGCATGGAGAGGGGCCTCGCTGTCCAGGAGGCACACACAGCTGGCTTGGTGGCTGGCATGGCCGAGGCCTCTGCTGCCCGCTCCTCGGGGTCTTTCTTGGGTGCAGATCTGCTCTGGCAGCTGCCCAGCTCCGTCCTGCTCTGAGCGAAGGCTCAGGTGCCCGGAGACCGGGCTCCAGCTGCTGCCCAGGGCTCTGTCCTACTGCTGGCCACCATCCAGGGCCTCCAGCCTGCCCCTTCCCCTTGGGACGCCTCCCCCAGGAAGTCCCCCGGGGGCCCTCGCCACAGTCCTCAGCCCCTGGGTCCCCGTCTCCCTGAGCTGCGCGTTTCCACCGGGGCCTGTTGGGTGGCGTCCCCTGCTGTCACCTGCCGGCGGATCACACACACCACCAGCCAGTGACTCCGACAGTGAGCATCCACTGGGCTCCTGTGTCCGCAGGCCAGCGATGGAGGCCAGGCTGCCCCACGGTGGTGCTGGCTGTCGGCTGCTCCCCGGGGGGACGTCAGCAGGGACAGTGTGTCAGCCCGCGGTCACTGTGACCTGGTATCAGAAAGCCACTTGGCGGACAGAGGATGACTGCGACTCTCAGTCCAGAGGCCCCACTACGCGGGCCCAAGGTGGGGTAACACCGTGGTGGACAGAGCTGTCCGCCCATGGTGGCCAGGGAGCGGAGAGGGAGAGAGAACGGGACCTGGACAAGGCACAGTCCCCAGGGACACGCTCCTGAGGCTCCACCCGTCCTGCAGGCCGTTAGCCCGAGTCACGGTGGGTTGATCCCTGCGGTCAGGGCCCCACGGTCCTTGCTGCGCCCCAGCTGCGAGGCCTGGGTCCACCCCGGCCCCTCTGCCCAGGGGAGGCCGGTCCTCATCCTGCCTGCCTCTGTCCCCGAAGGAGGACCTGCTTTGACCTAAGGAGCGTGGGTGGGTGGGCTGCTGCCTACCCCAAGAGCCCTGGCGCCGTCCTGCGGTCTGTCCAGCCCAGCTTTCCCTCGGCTCCGAGGGGGACGAGAAATGGCAGGACCACCAAGCCCAGCTCGCAGGGAGGCCCCGCCGGGTGGCAGCCGTGAAAGCCATGATGGAGGTCAGGGTGCTGGGTCTTCGTCCAGCAGCATGGGGTGGGGGGTGGACGGTAGTTAGCGGACACATCTCCCGGTGCCTCCTTCCACAGGCAAGAAGCCAAGGTCCAAGTGGACGGGGATCTTCTTGAGCTGTCCTGGGGCTGAGCCCCATGAGCCCCAGCCCTACTGGCTGCCCTTGCAGTTTTTCTGAGCACCTACTATGTGCCTGGGCTGGAAGCTGGAGCTGCCCAGTGGACACGACCCTCCGCCTGTGAGCTGCCCCTGTGAAGGCACCTCTGTCCTAGAGGGTCAGTACAGGTCCACCGTGAGGTCAGTGGGCCGTGCGGTCACCTGCCTGCTGAGCCTCATGGCAGTGGTGGCTGGGGGGCGAGCCAAGGGTCCCCCCGGAGCTGAGCAGGGAGCCCCCCCAGCACAAGGACGGTGGGGCAGAGAGACGGTTTCCCAAGAGGGAGTGCTGGTGAGGGGGTCAGTGCTGGCCACAGGAGGACCAGCAGTGCCCATGGACCCTGGCCCAGTGGAGCCCCAGCAGTCCTCAGCCTCTGTGCAGCCCCCGGCCCCCACAGCCTCCCCGCCCCCCG